CCATCCAGAAACCACAAGGCTGAGACCTCCAGAGCTGGCTCTGCTGCTTAGCATCTGTATGACCCTGGGTAAGTCACCTAACCTCTCTGTACCTCAGTGGGAAGGGTCACACCTTCCTCCCCACTGTGAGGATGAAATAAAGTCTGCCAGCCATGTCTGGCGCAAAGATGTCTCTGAACACGCAATGCAGGGTTAGTCTCTATCGAAATGAGTAGTCGGTAGGGTGACCGTGTAATGGATCTTCCCAGGTTTGGGGGCACTCTTGAGAGTAAGGGGAGGATGCGAATTACACTGGACCACAGGTGGCAAACCCGTACAGTCCTGGGGAAATCCCATGTACAGTCACCCTTGTGTTAACCACACCATCTCTATGTCTCCATCTCTATGGAGACAGCGAGGGCTCAGCCCCAAGGTGACTAAGACCCCAGGGCTCCCAGGGAGGCCAGAAACGCTGGGGTTTCTCCAACAAGGCTGGGAAAGCTCCTTGTCACAGCACACTAATAAATAAGACAAAGCCTCTTTGTCCCCAGAGCCCAGCCCAGCTGCAGGCCCGCCTCCTTCCGCAGTCTCTAGGGCAAGGGCGCTCTCGCCCCAACATCCGACCCCCTCGCACAGAATCCGCCCCTTGTCCTAACTCCAGGCGACCACCTCTGCCCCCACCCCTGGACAAAGGATCCCCCCATCTCCTTTCCAGGCACAGGACTCGCTGTGTCCTTTCCAATGTGGACGCAGCGTCTGCTCCCCACCTTGGAGGCCACAGAGCCTGAGCCAGGCACCGCCGTGGAGGCTCATCGTGCCAAGAGGGCAGACCCCCAGAGTGCCCCCAAGCAGGGTCCCGGCCGGGCGCCGGGCAGGAACAGAGACCCGCAGGGCGCGGGCACAGTCGCCGTGGCAACGCGTGTGGGCGAGTCATGATTGCAGGCTGTCCCGGGCCACGGCACTTAACAGTTTAGAGTGCCTCCCGCCCCTGATCTCATTGGAGCCTTTGCAACAGCCCTGCCCATGGCCACTGATGCCCCCATTTCCGACATGAAGAAACCGAGGCTCGGAGCAGCGACGAGCCCCTCGGAAGGCCGCCCCGGCAGCGGGTGGCAGCGGGACTAGACGCGGACCCCTTGCGGCCGAGCCGGCTCCCAGGCTCCTCCCCGGCCCTCCCTCCCCCGCGCCGCCCCCCTGGCTGAGCCCGCCGCCGCCGCGCGCCTGGCCTCCACTGCAGAGCCCGGCTCCCGCCCCTCCGCCGCCGCGCGGGGCTCCCGGACGCGGGCTCCCGGTGAGTGTGCGGGTGGGGTGGCGGGACTCGAGCGCTCCCGGGCGACCCCCAGCGGCGGGGACGGCTGAGGAGGGGGGGGCGAAGGAAGGGAGGTGGTGGAAGGGTCTTCCCCAACACCCCCAGTGCCCTCTCGCCCCTCGATTCTGGGCGAGGTGGGGGCTCTAGGGGGCTTGGAAGGTTCTGAGACACCCCCCTCCCACGTCCGCAAGCTCCCAAGCTGCCCCGGATGAAAGGAAAGTGGGTGAGGGGAGTGGGGGGAGACTGCAGTGGCATTATAGAGTGTGGCGACAGTTGGGCAAAGTTTGGTCCCGGGCTGGGAAAAAGAGGATGGCTGGGGGGTGAGGGGGGGGGGGAGTGTTGGTGGCCGGCTGGGGTAATCAGAACTGGCTCCACCTGTCCCAGTTCTGAGCTTGGAGGGAAATTCTTTGCAGATGAGTGGAGTCCCTGGGGTGTGTTGGGCGGGACTGGACAGACAGGACCGGAAGGTGGAAGGTGGGGACCCAGAAGGGGGCTGCACCCAGGTGGGTGTCGGGTGACAGGGCCCCTCTCCTCGGGAAGGCTGGCAGACTGGTCTCCAGCCACCACTTCAGTCTTTTTGAGCTCCCACCAGGTGAGTGGCAGGCTGGGGAGGGAGTGATCTTAAGATTCTTACAACAGCTCAAGAAAGTAGGAATTCTTTCCCTTTAGAGATAAGGAACGGAGGTCAAACTATTAAGGGATTCTTGGAAGTCACCTGGCTAGTAAGGGGCAGAGCTGAGGCTGGAATCCAGATGTGACTCCATGCCCAGTGCACATTTCTCTGCTTGTCCCCATAAGGCCAGGTCTCAGAGGAGCACGTGGGGGAGAAGAGGGTCTGCAGGGATGGGGTCTTCTGCAGTCACACCATGCTGTTGGAGATTCCCGGAGAAGAGGCATCAGAAGAGCTGAGGTGTTGAGAAGCAAATGTGCCTTCTCCCTCTGGCCAGAGCCGGGAAGTCCTTCCCCCAAGCTACCTTGTCCAGATTGTTCTGCAGGCTACCTACCTGCCCCCACCTCACAGCCCTTCCCTCCAAGCTGCCTCTCTGAGAAGTCAGCATGCATTTCTTTATCACCCAGCACTTACTGAGTACCTACTGTGTGCCAAACACTAGGCACTAAATATAACTCAGTAAGCAAAACAGCACTGATATTCTAGCGGGGGAGACAGACAATAAATAAGAACCAAAAAATAACAAATACTTTAATTTCAAATGGTGATTAAATTCGAGGAGGAAAATAAAGGAGACAGGAGCAGAGTGACTGGAAGGGCAGGGATCCCAGACCCAGGGTAATCTGGGGAGTCCTCAGCGATGAGAAGGACCCAGCCATGCAAGGTTCTGGAGAAAGAGCATTCCTGGCAGCAGGAATAATTGCAGAGTCCCCAACTCTCCCCATGTGGCTGGAGCAGAGAGAGGCAGAGTGAGAATGTAGGAGAGGAGGGCAAGAATGTAAAATCTGGGGTTTCATCCTAAGCGTAATGTGAAGCTAGTAGAAAGTTTTAAACAAGGGAGTGACACGGTCCAAGTTAGTAGATTCTAGGGGCCCAGGAACAGATGCCGAAAGGCCACCGAGGAGGCCCTGGCAATAATACCAGCAAGAGTGATGGTGGTTTGGAGCAAGGTGGTAGCAGTAGAGGGGTGAGAGGGGCCCTGCAAGATTTGGACCCACAGGCATCATGCATGCTCAGAGGGGCATCGTGTGCTCCAGGAGCGCCCACATGTGCACACAGGCCCACACATGCACATGGAGACACATGTTCCCACACCCGTGGCAGCAGGCAGACACTAGATGTACTCAGGCAGACCCACCCATCCACACCCTCTGAGTCATCCCAGGACTGGGAGGAAGATGGGTGGTTCTGGGGCCTGAACAAAGTATGTCTCCCCACCACGGAGCCCGGGCATCCAGCATGGCTGGGGTGGTTGGGGCTCCCCCAGGCTCTGGCACAGGGAGAGGGATTGTCTCTAGATTTTCCCTGGATCTGGTGTGCCAGGAGCCAAACCACCTACCATCCCCCACTCACCCCCAACCTGAGTTGTTCTCCCAACATCACCACCTACTGTCTGGGAGACCTTGAGGAGGTTATTTCTCCTCTCTGAACCTCAGTTTCCCCTCTGCAGAATGGGCTTGTCAGGGAGCAAGAAGATCCTCTGCCCTTCTACCTGGACTACGGTCCTGCTAGCTGGACTAAGAATGAAATTAGAGACAGATAAACAAGAGAAAATCTAATTTAATTTCATGTGAATGGGGAATCCACATGGATGTGGAAATTCCAAAGACAGGTAAAAGGAGGTATATATGCCCTCCTGAACTAAAGAGAAGGGAATAGGGGTCTGGGACTTCAAAGGGAAGAAATACAATTCACCAAGGATGAAAATGAGTAAATATTTGGTAAACAAAGGTTTGCTGGGCCACTCAGAAACAATGGGATGTAGAGGACTTTGATCAAACAGGCCTTGCTAGGCTCCTCTCTGTCTACCCTCCTTAGTTCGTATAACAATGTAGTTATCTCCGGTGATGGCTCTCTTCCTGGAGCAGGTCCTCTATCTGAATACTTCTAGGCAGTTGAAGGAGAGATAAAGAGCTTTTCCTGAATCTGATGAGCTTTGATTGCTTTTAACTCAAAATCATCTGCATGCCAAAGTGGCCTATCTTGGGGCGGCCTGCCCTTGGCCCCTACAGGCTCATGACCCCACCCTCTCAAGATGGTAGCAAGGAATCAGTGAAGTAAGTTGCAAGAACCTGGTCTGGGACAGGCATACAGCAGAGGAGGGGTAGGAGGTGGTGGAGAGCACAGCCTGCCACCCCACACCCCCGCACTGACAGCCTGGCCTGGAATCCAACTGCAGTTCTAAATGAGTGATTTGGCCTCTCTAGATTTCACAATGAGTGGCCAGCATTTATTGAGCACTTACTATGTGTTAAGTGCTTTGCAACGGCTATCTTCATCTGTAAATGAGAAGCATAATAGTATCTACCTCATGGGGTCATTATAAGGACTAAAGGAGATAGTGTTGCACAGCTTTTAGCTCCTCGGCTGACCCATAGTAAATGCTCAATAAATGGTCATTGTTATCAGCAAATGCACATTCCCTTCCTTCATGCATACAAGCTCTGTGACTTTTGGCAGGTTACTTAGCCTCTCTCTAGGCCTGTATCCTGCCCGTAGCCTGGGAGGAATAATAGTCCTGATCTCAAAGGGTCATTGGCTGATCAAACGCATCTATCCACATAAAGACCCCAGAACAGTGCCTGATACACGGTAAATGCTCACATCAAATGTTACCTATGCAGAGCACCTGGGTGGCTCAGTCGGTTGAGCATCCGACTTCAGCTCAGGTGGTGATCTCGCGATTCCTGGGTTCACACCCCCCCCATCAGGCTCACTGCTGTCAGCCTGTCAAGACAGAGCCCGCTTCGGATCCTCTGTCCCCCTCTCTCTATCCCTCCCCTGCTTGCAGTCTCTCAAAAATAAAAATGAAAAAATACATAAATATATACATATATATGTGTATATATATATATATATATACACATATATATGTGTGTGTATATACATATACACATATATATAACAAAATAACATATATATGTAACAAAATAAAAAATTAAAATAATAAAAAAATTTTTAATGTCACCCATACATTAAACATGGACTTTTCCCTTGCATGCCGTCAGGTGGGCACGGCCCCCGGCACGCCCGCCAGGCACCATGGACTGGAAGACGCTGCAGGCCCTCCTGAGTGGCGTAAACAAGTACTCCACGGCATTTGGGCGCATCTGGCTGTCGGTGGTGTTCGTCTTCCGCGTGCTGGTGTACGTCGTGGCCGCGGAGCGCGTGTGGGGGGACGAGCAGAAGGACTTCGACTGCAACACTAAGCAGCCCGGCTGCACCAACGTCTGCTACGACAACTTCTTCCCCATTTCCAACATCCGCCTCTGGGCCCTGCAGCTCATCTTCGTCACGTGCCCCTCGCTGCTGGTCATCTTGCACGTGGCCTACCGGGAGGAGCGCGAGCGCCGGCACCGCCAGAAGCACGGGGACCAGTGCGCCAAGCTGTACGCCAACGCGGGCAAGAAGCACGGCGGCCTGTGGTGGACCTACTTGTTCAGCCTCATCTTCAAGCTCCTCATCGAATTCCTCTTCCTCTACGTGCTGCACACGCTCTGGCATGGCTTTGGCATGCCACGCCTGGTGCAGTGTGCCAACGTGGCGCCCTGCCCCAACGTCGTGGACTGCTACATCGCGCGGCCCACCGAGAAGAAGGTCTTCACCTACTTCATGGTGGGTGCCTCTGCCGTCTGCATCGTGCTCACCATCTGCGAGATCTGCTACCTCATCTTCCACAGGGTCCTGCGAGGCATAGCCAGGAACAAGCCCCCGAAGGGCCACAGCCTCCCATCCTCCACCAGCCGGGCCTCCACCTGCCGCTGCCACCACAAGCTGGTGGAGGCTGGGGAGCTGGGCTCCGACTCTGGCGACGACAAGAGACACGCGTCTGCACCCAGCATGACCCCCATCTGACCACAGGCTGGGGAGCGACGCTGGAGCTGCCAGTGGGGACAGATGGGCAGTACTGCACGGGGGGAGGGGTCCTACAGGTGCTGGGTGCCCCCACTTTGAATTCGCTAATCTATCCCGTTTCATTTTGGGCAGATTTTTTTTAAGCACTGGGCACTGTGCTGTCTACCCAGGTATAATATAAGTCACACCCCAGAACTAGCGCCAGCCCTTGGGGGAGACAGACGTTGAAACAAACAAATCAACGACTGAGTGCGAGGGGACCCCCAGGAGGCTCCCAGCAGAGCTTCCGCCTAACCCAGGAGGGAGTGATCAGGAGAGACTACCCTGAGTACAAAATGTTTGAGAGGTGAGAAGCGCTTCCTAGACGAGAAAGCGGCAGGTGTTTGCAGGTGAGATGTTTGCCCTGGTTTGGACGCACCGGATCAAAGGGAATTTCATTCCCTTGGGAGAAGCACCCAGGTTCTGGGCTGGAAAGGAAGTAGTCTCTAAGCAGTGGGAGGTCCAAAGGCCTGAGGGTGAGCTTGTGAAGCGGAGGAGGAGATGGCTCTGTGACGCCACCTGCTGCTCGAGATACTCGGGTGTCCTCCTGGTCCCCACTGTCCTCAGGGGAAGCCCCCTTTCGCCCAGTTCTGCTCCTCCCAGGCTCAGACAGCTTTTCTGCCGTCTTCTTGCCACAAACGTGCTCAGCCTAGTGCCAGCCTCTCAGACTCTGCTGCCAGAGACTCAAGGTAGATGTTCCTTGAAATCAATAAAGGCTGTGTTTTATACAGGTTGGCTCCGTCCTCTGTTCTGTACTCCCACCCACAAGACCCTGAGGGCAGGGAAGGTAGCCCTCAGGAGGGCTGTACGTCTGGGGGTGAAGGCAGACTGGGGCTGGGGTTGATCTGGGTGGGGATGTGGGTGGAACCTACTGGTATATATGTTGTGATTGTAAGTGTGGTCACAAGAGGACGCTGTGCTCCCTCTGCGACAGTGCTTCCCGCGTTTCTAGTGAGAACACTGCTCTGAGCACACACACAATCATTGTTCTCCCCATAGATAAACCACACTCCCTCCTCCTCTATAACCCAATCACCACCATCAACAATCCACGTCCCCACCCTGTGTACACAAATCTCTGTTATTCATACTCTCACTCCTTATAATATGCCACAACAGGATGGTTGTCTCCTCTAAAGGTGGGAGTCCCAGCCTCACTCAAGCATTATTCAGCAGCTCCTTCCATCTGCCCTGAGCATCGTTGGCTCACCGGGGCCCTGGCAGGAGGTGGAGACTGCATAGGAGAACAGGAGCTGAACTCAAACAGCTCCGAGTCAGGGGAGACAGTAACACACTCGTCTCCTGCAGTAACCAACAGTTGGAGTGGTTCACAGCGCCCCCCACCCCCCCCCAGTACTGTGTGGTGACCTGCAATTTAGGGGACACCAACATTCAAGCCAGACTGGAATGGAAAGCAAAAGGGGGTGCAAGTCTCCACTAATGAGAGACACATTTAGTGACCATCAAAGCCAAGGCCAGGGGCCAGAAACCTAGGAGCAGTGAACCAAGAGCCAATGCAGGCAAGGAGAGGGCAGATCACTATGTCCACAGAACAGGCTGTGGTTCACCTTTGCTCTTTCGTGTGGCTATTAGTGGGGTGGGTAAGCTAACCAAGCTTAAAGGGCCCAGGGTTGGGCTGACACCCACCCCCCACAGTCTGAATCATAGCTTAACCACTTCATGACCACAGTCACCACGCTGCACCTTGGGCAAGCTTTCAGAACGGCAGTCTTGCCATCATTACAATGTGAATTGCACCAGTCAGGGTCCCAGCAAAAAACAGATGGCACATTCAAACCCAGTAACTTTAAAGAGTTTCCTTGAGGGATATTTTTTCATGTTTATTTATTTTGAGAGAGAGAGAGAGAGAGAGCCAGTGCGTATGCATATGAACATACGCGCAAGTTGGGGAGGGGCAGAGAGAGAGAAACCCAAGCAGGCTCCACGTTCAGCATGGAGTTCAATGCAGGCTTGATCTCACGACCATGATATCATGACCTGAGTTGAAAGCAAGAGTCAGACGCTTAACCAACTGAGCCAATTTGTTTTAAAAAGTATGGGCATGATCAAGGAAACCACAAACACTACTGCAGTGCCCTGGGGCTTGTACCAGGGTAGCCACGGACTGGGTTGCCACACTGGAGCTGCAAGGATGCATTCCACCCCAGCGACCAAATAAATACCCCAACTTCACTTTCTCATCTCCTGCTCTCCTGCCAGTGGCTCCCACTGACACAACCCAACCAGGATCTAGAGAGCAAGGGAGCCAAATGAGGCAGCCAGTTATCGCTCAGCTCCTGGGGCACAGAGCAGGGTGGAGAGTTGACCCGAGGGACAAAGGGACCATATTCATCCCAGCACTCAGAGCAGTACTACTCCTGGGGTTGCTGTAGAGATGAGACACTGAAGGTAACCCAGCAGTATGGTGCTAATGTGTTCAGTAAATATCCAGGCAGGAGCTTGCCTGCTGCCCAGGCCACAACAAGGCCAGTCCCAGCCTGGCCTGGATGATTGCAAAGGTCTCAGGGAAGGTCTCTCCTACTTGCTGCCACACATTCCAGCATCTTCCAGGGCAGTTTCAGCTGCCTGGCCAAGGATGGCTTGGAGGCCAGAGCAACCAGAGGACATCACTGGCTAGCTCAGCACAGACTGAGCCTCCAGCCCCAGGCCCCTTCTCCAGGCTGGGGGTGAGGACCGTGGTTGACAGGATGTCCCAGCCCTGTCCTGAGATGTGCCACCTTCGGCCTGAGAGCTGTTCTGAGCAGTGCACCTCACTCTCTGATCCAGGACACCTGGAGCTACTGTTCACCATCCAGAGTCCCCAGCACACAACGCTGTCACCACAAGGTGGCTCTCATGTCCCCTGGCCTTCTCTTCTCAGGGTACAGGCTTCTATCTCCTCCTTGCCCAGCACATGAGCATTCACTGCAAGCCTCCTTCCCTCACGCACATGATAGATTTAGATTTCACGCACACACAGCCTTCACAACCACACCTACTGCACGAAATAACAGCCACCACGCAGCCCAAGCTAAACAGGAGATTATCTTGTGTCATCACCCTGGTCTCAGCTTCCTATTATGGATTGAATGTTTGTGTCCCCCCAAAATTCATACCTTGAAACCCTAACTTCTACTGTAATGGTATTAGGAAGTGGAGCCCTTGGGAGGTGAAGCCCTCAAGAATGGGATTTGTGCCCTTCGAAGAAGACACAGAAGAGGGAGGACCTTTCTCCCTTCACCACGTGAGGACACAATGAGAAGACAGCCCTGTGTAAACCGGGAAGAGGGTCTTCACCAAGAACCTTTTGGACTTCCAGCCTCCAGAACCGTGAGAAATAAATTTCCATTGTTTAGGGCCCCCGTTGTGTGGCATTCTGTTACAGCAGCTTGAGCTGAGACAACCACATCATCTCGCACCTGGATTACTACAACAACGTCCCTGCTTCCTGCCCTAGCTCCGGGAAGCAGAAGAACGGAAAGGGGAGGAAGCGGGACTGAGCGACAAGACCTGTTGTGCTGTGTCCATCAGGCAAAGATTGTCGGTTAGAGGCGGTCACGTGGAGTTGGCTGGGCCCTTGACCGCTGCTTGGCTCAGTCACTGCCTGGGGCCACCCCCCGAGCTTGGCCACCTGGACAGCTGGAGTGGACCTGAAAGGGCTAACAGCTGGAGGCTGTCAGCTGCCCAGACTCCCACAGCTGGGCAACAAGTCCCATCCCAAAGGGGGATGTCCATATTCACCGCTCACCTCCACAGTCCATTCTCGGCACCACAGCCCCAGGGATCCTTTACAACCCAGGTCAGGCCGGGTCACCCCCCTGCCTGCACCTCCTGAGACATCTCACACAGCCCTTGAGGGGCCTCTAAGATCTGCCCACCCCACACCTCATCTGCTCTCTCTCAGAATGCACCCCTTCTCTCTCACCTCACTCCAGCCACACTGACCTCCTTGCTGCCCTCAAGCAGGAAATGTTCCTGCCAGGCATGGTCCTGCCTCGGGGCCTTTGCACTCTCTGTTCCCTCTGTCCAGAAGGCTCTTTCGCTCCATCCTTTCCTTCAGGGTGCGCATCAAATGCCCGCTGCTTAGTGAGACAATCTCCTCTCTTCTACTCAACATCAAAACTGCACCCTCAGCATGCTCAACCCTCCCTCCCTGCTTTCCACATAGCTTTGTCGCCATCTAGCAGGTTCTGTGTTCTGTCTCCCCACAGCTAAAGTGTAAAATCCCCAAGGACAGGGAGTCTTGTCATTCCCTGGTTGGTCTCCAGGGACCACTGTCTAAGACAGTGCCACAGCAGCAGGGGGTGCTCAGTAAAAATGTGCTGAATTAATACGTTCATATATGGGACTGGTGCCCTGCTAGGTGCTGGGGATGTAAAGAAGACCCCGCTGCGTGCCCTCTAGGGGCCCTCAGTCTCATGCAGTAAGTGACGCACCCGGGGTGGGAGGAAGGGAAATGGGGTGGGGGGAGGTTTAATCGGTAGAGAGTTTCAGTTTTGCAAGATGAAAAAGTTCTGGAGCTCTGTTGCTCAACAATGTCAATGTACTTAACACCACTACTAAATGGTACATTTTTTAGCGGTTCAGATGGTAAATTTTATGTGTTTTTTTTTACCACAATTAAAAATAAAATTTTTAAAAATAGCCACCCAAAAACCCAAAATAAAACAATGCACCCAGGGGCAATACGTGAGCCACTGAGGGCACCAAGGCTCACCTAACCCAGGGGAGACAGCAAGGGGGCTTCTGGGAGAAGTTGACATAGAGCATAGAAAGACTTGTAGGTTAGGCATGTGAGGGCACTCCAGGCAGAGGGAACGGCATGGGCACAAGTAGAGCGCTCAGAGAACTACAGTAATGGAGTATGGCTCAATCACATAGTGAAAGGGGGAGAGGGATAAGGCTGGAGGCCTTACTGAGAGCACACTGAGACAGTGGCCTAAACAGGGTCAGGGCAGTGG